CTCCAGCTTGCCGATCCAACATTTGGTACTCCTGCCAAAATTGATATACTTATTGGTGCAGATATTTGGCCTGCTTTAATTGCCGATGGGATGGCTGCGGGACCCCATGACGAATCATGCGCGCCTTGTACCCGCCTCGGTTGGATCGTGTTTGGCCCTGCGATGGTCAAGACTCCAAATCATTTGCCGCATACTCTAACTGTCAGTAAATGTATAGGCGATCAGCAACTGTATAAACTACTGCAAAGGTTCTGGCAGGTTGAGGACAATTACCCTGTCGACGAACTCTCGGTAGACTCTTGTGAACGGATTTTCATTGACATTTCGAATGCTCCAGTGTTAGGAGATTCMTATCAAACAGYACGGCGTCAGTTTTTTCATCTTGAGCGAAAATTGGCTGGCGACCCTGAGCTTAGCAATAAATACATCACGTTTATGCAAGAGTACATAGCACTCGGTCACATGAATCACGTGAAGGACGATTGCCTCGACCCGACGCAATGCTATTACATCCCCCATCATGCGGTAACAGGTAAATTTCGTGTGGTATTCAACGCGTCCTGCAAAACCACAAGCGGAGTGTCATTGAACGACACTCAGTTTTCGGGACCACAGCTCCAAGACAATTTGATTGATATTCTTCATCGGTTTAGACGTTATCGAATAGCTATAACCGCCGATGTCGAGAAGATGTTTCGACAGGTTGAGATCAATCAATTGCATCGTAAATGGCAACGCATCTTGTGGCGAGAATCTCCAGTCGAACCACTACGTAGCTACGAGTTGGCTACTGTAACGTATGGAATGACCAGCAGTCCATACAATGCGATTCGCTCCTTACGTCAATGTGCTCTAGATAACTACAACATTGTGGAGGACGAAACCCGGGCKTCTGTGGCAAGGAACAGTATCCTTGATGGATTTTACGTAGACGACTATTTAGAAAGTTTTGACTCTGTTGGAAGCTGTTAGTTGTGCTCATGATGTCGATGAGATCCTCCGTCAAGGWCAGTTCATTCTTAGCAAATGGAATTCGAACTGCGCCAAAGCACTTCATGCTATCACCGATCCCAAAATCTGAAGCAGAAATTAAATTATGCGATTCCAACGCCACTGTGTTAGGCCTACATTGGAATCCGTTGAGCGATGAGCTC